TTTGTTTAATTTTACCTGTTGAAATGGATTTTCGGGGCCGGGGGGCGGGAGGGCTTTACTTTGTTCAATTAAATTTAAAAAATAATGTTGGTCTAGGCATTCCGTCTAAAACAGTGTATCAGATTGGTATGCCTTTTGACAGGCAGAGGGGGCATGTGGTTGGCTAAGTACCAATCATGTCAGCACAGGTTCCCAAGGAAGGGTGCCCCCACCTACTACTGTTGGGTTCATTTTGGTTCTGACTTATCCTTAATAGGTAAGTCTGAAACAGGTGAAGCTGCTTCTCCATTCTCCAGCAGCTGGAGGATGATTCAGTCCTAAAGTAGTTATCGTTACATGCCCACCTAGATTTCCCACCTAGCTGTATTACAAGAAGTGACTGGTTAAAAGCCTGTTAACTCAGAAAGCATTTATATTATTGAAAACTAAGATCTATGAGCCAAATTCAGCCTGCCCTGTTTTTATCTAGCCTGCAAGTTAAGAATGCTTTTTATATTTTTCAGTGGTTGAAAAATATATCAAAGGAAAAATACTATTTCTTGACACGTGACAATTAAGTTCAAATTTCCATGCCATAAATAAAGTTGTATTGGACCATACCCACACTTAGCCCTTCTATGTCTTGTCTGTAGCTGCTTTTTACACTGCAATGGTAGTACTTGCAACAGAGATCCTACCGCCCATAAGAGTAGGGTTGTCAGATTTAGCAAATAAAAATACCAGATAGTACAACAAATAACTTTTAGGACGTATTTGGGACATACTTTATCTGAAATTCAAATTTCACTGGGTGTCCTATATTTTATCAGACAACCCTGCCATAAAGCCTAAAATATTTACCATCTGGCCCTTCAGAGAAATGTTCGTGGACTTCAGCTAGAGGGCATGTTTCCTCAAGTGCTAATAGGGATTTCTTGAAACCAAAAATTCCTTATTTACGTAAGGTCTGGGTAGGCAATGACAGACTTCTCTTTTAAAACTTATGACTTCTCAGAGAGTTGAATATGCTAATATGAACTGTAAACATCAGAAAGGATAGGTCCAGAATGAAGTGTTTTCCAAACTCTCATTTGATCACACATTGCTGTTATTTTGTTTAATGGTCCTGTAGAACTGTGCTCCTCAGAGTACACTTGATATGCAGACATCAGGTATGCCTCAGGCATACGACTTAGCATGATAGAACCCAGCAGAAGTGAATGACCAATGTTTCATAGAAGAAAATATATCCATAGCTTTATCTTCAGATTCTAGGAATAAATCCTCTCCCTCAACCTGCTGCAACCTTCTTCTATTAGTAATACCTGCTGATAAAGTCCCAGCAGCATGGGTACTGAAGCTGGGCAGGAGGGTGAGGCATGGGAGGAGGGGATGGTGATGGGTATAGAGGCTTTGGGACCTGCAAGGAAAAGGTAGGAAGGAGTTGTAATGACTCATAGCAGGGCTTTCTTCCTGTGTAAGAAACAGATGTAAACATGATGATTTTGACTTGCTAAAGAGTATTTTTCTTTTCTGGTATCTTTTTGGAAAATTATCAAGGGTCACAT